ACTAAGGGACCGGTTGTTCTTAATGCTTAGGAAAAAAAATGTTATTACAAGAAACAGTTTTAACAGTTAACAGTTAAGGTTCGACACATTTAGGCCTTTCTTCAGGTCTCAGTCTCTCTAGGGCTTGAAAACCCTATAAGTTTTTAATTAACTGACTGGCATGTTGGTCAAGTGGTTAGTGACCCTGACTGCTAAGCAGGAGGCCGTGTGTTCGATTCCCATCCAAGACAAATAATTGTGTGATGAGCATGATCATTTGTCCTGAGTCTGGGTATAATATTTCTATTTAGAAATAAACATATAAACAAATATGTTAATCGGCAGTCTGGTTACCGTAGCACAGGCTCTGCCCAGTTTGGTATCAGACGCTTATGTGTGAGATGTGTGAAATTATTGTTATTAATTACACAAGAATAGAAGTGTCACTCATCCCATCTCTTGCAGAACCAGTTCTTGAAGTCCAAAACCTTGAGGCCCTAATAGCATATATTGTATCCTTTATCTAACTTTATCAGTTCTCCTCCAGGCTGTAGGCCAGAATTTACTTAGTTAAATATGATAGTTGTGATTCCAACAAAGCTTACATTAACGAAAAGTGTTCTAGTTCTTATTATGGATTTCATAGATTAAATGTAAATTACAGAAGATGGGCTTCTATGGTCACCTTCATAAAGTTCTAAAACATTTATGTGGTCTAATTAGCCTAACCCATTAAAATACTCTCTTTAGATAACTTGTGCTAATAGATATACGTAACAAAGCTGATTTTTTTGTTCCTGTTTGTTTACTATTAAGACAATGCTACGGCGCATTAAGAAAATAGCGACGTATCGATCAAGACCCGCACCCTGATTAATAAGGTTTCAAGGTTTCGTACGAAACGATAATTTCTTAGAACCTGATTGGTCAGGGGGCGGGGCTTGATTAATGCGTTACTATTTTCTTAACGCGAATGGACTAATATATGTAGTATGAAACTACGCAGACGCCACTATACTGAAAAAATTACACGTCTTGTTATATTCAAATTCAAAATGCTGTGTCAAAATGTTCTCAAAATAAGACAATACTTTACAAAATTAATATAAAATATCAATTTATACGACTCAAAAGGCTGTTTAACAAACTTATGTGGAAAGTAAAGCAATTCTAAGGAGCTGACCACATCGCGTGCAGAGATCAATTCACAACGATTCATTAAACTTAGCTGGCGAAGGAAACCGGCGTACGGCTTACTCCATTACTCATTCTCCTGTAATCTTGAAGTTAAGTGGAAATTGCGTACACTTTATAAGTTATTAGATTGGTAAGATTGTTGTTTTTGATGACTAATTTTATATGGTGTATAAGTGTAGCTGTTACATTTTCATCATTTATACGTTTTAGTATACACTCAAGAGCAATGAATCCGGTTCGAATTGTGAGTGACTACCTTCAAGAAGGGGGGGGGAGGGGGAGGAGGGTTTGAGCTATTGTAACCTCACTCAGTACAGTAAACTCACGGAAAAAATGCTTAACACTGGTGTTAACACTTTTTCATCACTCCGGTCGCGCCGGCCCCCGATCAACTCTCGATCTCGCAACTGTCATAAAAGGTATTTTCGTAGTTAAATAGTAAACTATTACTAAGAGTAGCAGATTACCGATTCAATTTTCGGTCACAAGACGATTTAAGCACATTACAGTCAACGTTGGATGTTTAATACTTAAAAGAGGTTCTTTTTATAAAGGATTGTACTTTATAAAAATAACCTCTTTTAAGTCTGTTAGAAATATTACTCATCCTAGCTATGTACATATTATTTGAGATAGGTTTCGCATTATTTTTAAACTAAAACACACAAAATATTTTTAAATTTTATACAATATCCTATTAGCTAAACTATTACGTAGGTACATCACTATAGGTATGAAGTTGACATTTAAAAACACATTAAATGACGTCACAAATTTAAATCAATTTCAATTACATATGGTGTTGTTCAAGTGACAGTTTGAAAGGTTTGCGTGTAGGAGAGCGGAAATGGAAGCTCCTTCACCTTAAACCCTCCAAGGTTATGAAAAACTTAGCAAGAATTATAACAATATCAATAAATTTGACCGCTACGAAGGTTTTCTCGGAATCGAAAGAAAACTGAAGCCTAATTTTACTGTTATACAATGGAATTGGATTGCAGTGATTCATCGACACTTTGTTTGTTTCTTCAAACTTTATTTGTACGTTCCAATAATTATTTATTAAAGTATTTCATAGCATAACCTTTTATTCAACATAGTAAAATACAATTCATAATACATATGATCATTAGAAAAAAGTTGTAATGGAAGCACAGATTTAACTATCGTATTACAACTACCAATAGATTAAAAAAGGAAATGTAAAGAATTCTAATTAGCTTTGATATTCTGCAGTGTAGTGAAAGTATTTACAGTTTCATTTATCATGAGGACTGCGTTGACAATAATTAAATTTGACTACAAACTTGGTTAACACGTGGTTAACAGAACGATTAGGAAGAACGATTACATTGCCAAAGAGGGTTAAAATCAGACAGGCGGGCTGGCTATAAAAGTAAAAAGAACAAACCATTTTGGAATAAAATGAAGGATTGCGTGAAAAAGGATTGGCTAAAAATAGAGAAAGCAGTGGTCAGTGATAGAGGATAATGGAAGAAGAAAATTCATTGCAAACAGATTTAGGAAAAGTATAAGAAGATGATATTTTGAAGTGTAGTGAGAGCAGACATCACATCAACAGCCTTTAGTAGTCCACTGCTGGACATAGGCCTCACCTAAGAAATGAGGTTTTGGCCTACTATACCACGCTAGCCAGACGGGTTGCTTTAGGGTTTATGTCAAGTTTTCCTTCTCTGTGCAGTGCTGTTGTCCTGCTTAGTTAGTTCCCTTAATCGGCTCTTACGACACCTAAGGGATGATGGAAGAAGGATAAAGGAGGAGGAGGATGACGGGATGATGATAGTGATACTCCGTATTCAAAACACGGTGGAGACGAGAGAGCAGACATCTACGGTAAAACCATTAATGTTGCTTAGAGCAGACCTTCTGCAACCAAGGTCTTTCTCGATTTTGTAAGCTACCTGGGTGACAAAGAGTTTGTTTTCTTCACGGCTTAGAAGAACTAGTGTATGTCTGATGCTGGTCTGGGTTATGGTTTAGAATGTTAGCGGTCTATACTAGACGGTTTCCGGTGCCTACAAACGAATTCTGAGAAAGCGAACCCTAGAGCTAGAGTTTGCCGCGAGATACTATCTGGCGTTGGCTGTTCTCCACCAGAGTTAGTTGTCAGATTGTTCGTGAAAGACAACGATCAGAAACCATTTATTTAAACTCCAGCAGGATAGCATCCGCATGGTCATCAAATACATGTATATAATATATACATAGGTAGATATAACCTTCTGTCCTTGAAACTATATCATAAACGCTTTGCTCATAATTAAATCAGGTATTTTATAAGTAACATAATCACTCAATGTGTCTAGGTCGAGGCACCACTTGTCTATCTCATGGGTTATTGATTGCTGTACAGACATACCGTGTGAACTTATATTATGATGATAATTTATGTACACCTGGCAACTTTAACGGGAATTGACCTTGAATTTATAAGAACTTTAAATACAAATGGAGTCATAGCTATATTGGTTTACGTCAAACTAAGTAATTAATTTTGGGAAGTACCGTTAGAAGGCCCACACTTCCTGCAGTAGCTATTATTTGTGACAATACAGTGTAACCGCTTTATTGAGGAACGTAAGAGCAAATAAAACAAGAAAGCGAAGGAGCGGACGGTCACTTGATGGTAAGAGACCACCTCCGTCCATGGATACCTGCTTCTCAAGCCTCGCCTTGGTTAAAGAAACAGAGGGTTGGGCTCCGGTAACCTCACTAAAGCAACGAAAGAATTGCTAACAATCAATGATATTATATACAAACAAGATGTGGACACACCACTAACGCACAATACGCGAGGGTCCTAATTAGGACCCCTGCGAGTGAGCGCACGTACTAATTAAGTCGACGAAATTCATAAAATGCCTTCCTGTGTTCACAAATTCCGACAAAAAGGTAAATAAATATGAAGGAATATTATACCACTGGTAAGTGTATGTTTTGTTCTGAAAGTCATTAATAGATGTATGTACGGTTACGGAACAAATATTTTGTCTGTACAGTATGAATATAACGTATCTTCCTTAAAATATCATCGCTTAGTACTTGGGTTGTGGATGTCTGAGGCAGTCGTTCCGCGTAAAAAATCAAAATTCGATCGTATCTTAGTAGACTTAAAGCCGACCCCAACCTAGTTTGGGAAAAAAACAGGCTTGGAGGAAGGTAGATTTCTGTGTCACTCCGGTTGAGCTGGCCAATATGTGCCAAGGCATGGTACTCCCACGTTTTGATTTCACAACCCTATTCATCATACCTTAATGTTTTTACGTATGTTATTTATCGTAACCAGTGGTCTCTTAGAAGTTTTAAGTCTTATCTCATTATCTGAAATACGCGACATGTAAATAATGGTTTATTATAGGACTCGCCCTATAATCATATCCATTAAAAAAAACCTTTTGGCTGTGGGCAGGATTTCTGCGAATGCCTTCCGTCACTACTTTGACCGACTTTTTAGTACGAATATAACATTTTACTATACCTATCAATGGCCCTCTACTAATATATTCAACGAACAAAACGCAGTTAAATTTAAAAAAAAAGATTTGTAATGCAATAGTTCGGTTTTAATAAGATTTTTTAACCACCATTGAAAGGTTCCAAATTCAATTGTGTTTAGGGGCACAGGGACTTCCTTTCTAGGGTATGCCTGGTTCCCCGGCTATTAGTACCCGAGACGGCGTGCGGTTTTAGTCGGTTCGAGTCCGACATGCCACCGACAGGTGGTATCCGAGGGGATTTCCGCACGGAAAAAAAAAGGGGCACACTGTATATTTAATTTTCTGATATGCTTAGCATCAACTTACCTGCCATTCCTGGAGGGACTTCGGAAGCTGTCATCGTCCTTCCCCCAGCTTTTGCCTAAGGCCGGGAGACCTATGGTACTAGTACCCTTGATCAAACCACCGCCTGGCTGGTCGGTGCTGCGTGATTTGCGGGCCTTTAGTTCTTTACCTGGGTAGGGAGGTGAAAATTTGAAGAGATCTTTTATCAATACATATTAAATGACTTTCTCTGATTGACTAATTCATCTACGCAGAGCCTAAACCTTTAGCCCCAGCGGTTTGAACTTTTGGCAGGTGATGCTTTTTATGTCGTAAGCATCTACTAAAAAGATTTTTTTGCAAATTTCACCACTAGAGGGTAAAATTAGAGATGAACGTCTGTATTTATGTTCGTCATTTTAAAGTTAGAAACACGAAATAAGAAAAATCACGAGGGTGAAGGCACTAGCAATAGCCAGTCGAATATAAATTACAAAGATGTAGGATCATTATAGCTTTCTTTCTCCATACATCATCATCATCATCAGCCTATCGCTGTCCACTGCTGGACATAGGACTCTCCGATTGTACGCCACTTAGATCGATTTTGATCTTCTCGCATCAAGCTCCTGCCAGCCATCTTGCGCAAATCGTCATCTTTCTCCATACCTTCGGTTGTAATTAAGGCTCGTATTTCTGTTTACTTCAAGCCGAATAGTGATTAACATTAATTCTTTTCTTAAGTTAGACAGCAAAACTACTATCAAAACGAAACAATTTATCAACATACCACAACAGCAATACCGATTGTTTTAAATTACATTACAGTAAGTGACAGTGGGTTTAACTATACATTATTAATACATTCTATGCAAGGTGAATAATAATATAATAATATAATATATTCTACCACATACACACAACGCCATCTAGTCCCAAACTAAGCAGAGCTTGTACTATGGGTACTAGACAACTGATATAAATACATATACACTTTTTTTTTGTAAATACATACATATTATACATAGAAACACCCAGACCAAATCAAACAACAAATGTTCATGCACACAAATGTTTGACTTGAGCGGGAATCGAACCCGCGACCTTTGGAATAGCAGTCCGTTACACAAACCACTACGCCATCCAGTCGTCAAAATGAAAACTTTCTTAGTAAACTATGTAGTATTGTAAGTAAATACTGTGACTTAATAACAGTTATAAATTCCTAACTGACAAAAGGACTACTTCGTCACATCCTAAGAGGGAAATGCGTGTGTAGGGTTCCGTTCCGTTTATTTTTACTCGTTTTATAGAAGTAACATCTTAAAGAAGTATCTTTAAAGGGTTTTGTGATTTGTGAGATTTTTTTCAAGAAAGTATATTTTATAAGCTAGGCGACTATTCAACAACGATAACTAAACCGTTATGCTTTTTCTTCTAAATTATGATGCCTTAATGTTCTTTTATAACTCATTTTTAAGCATTATAAGTCAAAAGCTTACTTTTAATTTTTTAAGATTCTATTTAAAAGCCTTGTCAGCATTATTACCATACATACCTATGCAAAATTAGAACTTTCCAGTCCTAGCAGTACCTTAGCTAAGCCACAAACTGACGTATGGACAGCAGACGGATATGACGAAACTATAAGGGTCCCTTGAGAGGACTAACGAACCCTTAAGTAGTCGGTATAGTCATTTATTACATTATGAACTTACCATGCTTTGGTGTGCCGTTTAAGGTCTCGGCAGACTTCGAAATGCTTCTGGACATAGCTGTGGGAGGAGCCCTCATAGGAGTGGCCTGCCTCTGGTACACCATGCCATCTGACTTTACCGGTCGAAATATTTTGAGATTTTTTAACGCCATGTCTTTTCACATCCATTTTCAATTATAGACAACATTTAAAAAGTTTTAATTTCAATTGCCACCGTGTTGCGCATGAATTCAAATATCAGAATGCGAAATTACGATAAAAAAGTACCAACAAGCACCAGTTTTTGATAACATTACCCATTATGCGGGTTTACATACTATTTAAATAAAAAGTTTTTAGATTGCAAAAAGGAAAGAACAGCAATATTAAAATAAATCACCATAGACAGATATAGTATAGTGCTAAATAATTACTCAAACAATTTACTAACACTATGTCATAATAATCGATGTCCATCAGTTGTATGAATATTTATATTTTTTAAATATGTAATAAAATAAGTAACCTTAATACACTACACTACGTTAATATTTTTGATGAATTAACGTTTAAAAAAAATAGATTTCCATTGGCGGGAACGGCAACCGGAAAATTTATTTACAATATGGCGCTCAAACGCAACTGTCACATACGCGCGCGAGGCACAGACTGAAGGGCTTTCAGCCAAGGGTTGTTACAACTTATTTGTAGGGATTGTATATTAACTATAAAGAGTAGAACTATGTAGGAATACGTGTGCATATTAGAACATGTTTATGAGATTGATTGTTGTACATTCGTTATTTACTAATAAATCATAGTTTATGTTCAATAAATATTTAGTTTTATAAATACGATCTCTATCATTAGAATGCTGATAATAATTTTAAACTTAGGTATTTTGTCTATTACACAGTAGGTAGTGTAATTTTAAGATTTATGTTTATTAGCATTCCACTATAAAATTAATTTTGTTTTGCGTCCTGAAAGAACTGATATGAAAATACATCTATTAAATATGAAGATATATACCAACTTAAGACAATTATGAAATGATCAACTTTTCTTTATATTCCAAAGGGCTATCTGAACTAAATTGGATATTAATTTCTGCTGGTCTTTCAATGACATCCGGAGTAGGTATACAGACACAATTAGCAGAAGTCAATAACATTCTGAAGCGCAGCACTTCCGATAATTACTTTAGACGATGTTAGCTGTGTAGTTGTTTGTAAACATAGTTTGAAATAAACTCCAATATATTAATTTATGCGTGCGTAGGCACCAACCTCAAAATAAGTAGATAGTATAAAAACATTCAAGACGTTAATGTTCCACTAGCTTGTTTTATGAAATATTTAAAAGGCTGTTATAACACCAATTACTTGGCTTTCGAAGTACCTACCCATTGCGTGGTGTTTGTTCACTATATACACTGTGTGATTTTCATAAATTGTTTCATATAAAACACATAGCTTTTACAAAAATGCGATGTAAAAGTACTAATTATGAGGAATGTAAAATGTATGTATTTTCGAATGTAAAATACTGCTAGTACATGAGAAAGTAGTGCATTAGAGCATTTGATCGTGAAAAATACAAACTCCGTGCAATAAACTTAAGACCTAGAAGTGTAAAACATTGTAAGACATTCGAGGTGCCCAATTTTAGTAACTATTGTGGTCAAAGATGTACCAAATAGTTTGTAAAGTAATTCCGAGTCAAAAGAATCATTCCAAAATTAAAAAAATAAGTTCCTCCTAAGTGTAGTCAGCAAAAAACTTGATATATTTTATTGTAGGTATACTGATCAAACAGATTGTCGATACAGCCTCTAAGGCAAGGCGCTTCTATAAAAATAGTTGTAAATTTATTAATCATGTGCCAACCTGTATCACACTTATTATTCTTTAGTTAATATTATTGTTATTAGTATTATTTAATTGTTATTATTATTTTATTAATTTAACTTTAATTGTTATTAATTATTATAAATATGAGAAAGTGTAATTAACAAGGGAAGCAATTTTTATGATGCCATGGGAGTTACAACGCCTACAACTGCCAACGAACTGCTTTGTAGATTGCCAGTAGTAAATAAAATTACTTATAAAAATGTATTATACTGTAGGTATATAAACACTTTCTTTTCTTGTTTCTTCTTCTTTACCTAATGTCAACAATTTGGAGCGTATATTGTTTTAAAAAAATCGTAAGTGTTGTAACTGTAAAAAGAGGGAAAACTTGACACAAACCCTACCAACCTGTCTGGCCAGCATGGTATAGTAGGCAAAAATCTCCTTTTTAGATCCAGCAGTGAACTACTAAAGGCTGTTGATTGATTGATTGAATTACAGAGTAAACATGACCTAAGCCTACAGTATTTGTTAAACCTCTTCATTAAACCAGTTCGTTGTAAATATATATATACGTTCGTTATACGTATGTATACGTTCGTTCGTGGTAAATGTACAAGTATATATATATAAACAATTACGAAAATATAAAAATTATCTCATTTTGCGACTAAAAGGCCACAGTTCAGCCTTTGCTATGGCTCCTAAAAGTGACCAAAGCCCTGATGTTCATATAACTAACTACATATTGTTGCAAATGGCCTGGTATAGTCTAGATAGCTATCACACCGAGGACCTTGAAATGACATGGTCCTCCCCTCGGAAGGCCTTCTGATGCCGGCCGTCAGGTTAAGTGGCCACGTATTCCCGTCCACTACGTCCATGTCCTGCATCGCCGCGATGGTGTCACCCTGGAGCCGGAGATCCAAAGAGTTTTTCCACCCCTTTATTAAACATCAAAGTAGATAGTGACAGTAAATTTATACCAGATGTTGTAAAACTAAATCTAAATTTGTAAATCGTGATGATAAAGAAAATAATGTCGAACATCGTGTTGTAGTTCTCAATTCATGTTATTTATTCTGAGTTGTTACACCGGCGAATAAGAATAAATTAAATATGGAATCGATTTATAGAAGAACTACTTAAAATATTCAACTTTTTATGTGTTTGTTAGCTTTTCACTGATAAAGATTGGTTTGAAATCGATTATGCCTACAACTTTACTCTGGTGCTGAATAATCGATTTTTAAGAACACCAGGATGAACACCTCTTTCACGTTTCTTATACAGTGTTAAAAAAAAATACAACTTTACGCGCAAGTATGACAATGATGTTTTATTTTTACAAATAAAACGTTAATAATATTCGGTCAAAGAACTATACGTAATTGTTTTATCAACATAATTACTGTAATTTGTGTATTTAATTTTATGGAATATTATGGCACAATTATTACTTTTTTTGTAACTACTGAATACATGTAGGTCTATGGAGTTATTTAATTTACGTACGTGTTCCGAAGGAGGCCATCGTTTATAGTAACCAATTATATTATCCTAATTGCTACTGTTATAAAAACAAATGTGAGCTTCTTTGTTTGTTTGTAACACTTATACGACTTAATTACTTAACCAATCATCATGACATTTTTTTTTAGCAAAGGTATAATAGTAACCAATAAAGTATATAGGTATAAAAAAATGTTTTGTTGGTTTGTGTACGCTTTAAAAACTTAAAAAGTTGTGCACTAATTGAGCTCAAATTTTGACTGTTCATTTACGTCCGGATTTAAAGATTGTTTTTATCTCTTTTTCGCGTCCGTTTTGTTCCTCTTTTCTCATCAGTCGAACCACAATGTATTATAGCGAAGCGTGGAACGGTACAGTTAGTAAAATAAATTTAATTCTTCATATGTGTAAGCACATAAAGAATTTGTATTCAATGAAGGAGAAATGTATTTTATTCAAGGGTTGTGAAAATTGAACTGTATTAGTATGTAGACTGCAGAATTTTACACAAGTCTAATGAAATGACAACTTTGAAGTTTTTGAGTGAATCTCACTGCAGCAAGAGATAGGTAAGAGACAGATAAGAGAGGGGGCAAATTGGTATTCACGTACCCATTCTACGTAAAAAAAATTATTATTTTTTTAACTTCCTCTCTGCTCTGTGACTACCTGTAGTATATGCCAAGAGCTGTTAGTTTTCAGGTAGTAATACATAAATATGGTTTTAAATCATTCTTTGCAAACAGAAATTTAATTTGCTTCATATTTGTCTTTTTTTATTAAATTTTTCTCAATTTTTTTTTATGATATAGGGCAAACAAGCAGACGGGTCACCTGATGAAAAGTGACTACATCCGCCCACGAACGCTTGTAACTCAGCAGTCACAATCACAACCGACTTCAAAAATAGGAGTATCGGAGATCAGTTTACGCTTCTATTGTCTCCCATCTATGTCTATGGCAGTCGTAGACAATGTTTGCATCGCAGTAGCACTTGCTTTATTAGTGTAGCACTAGATGCTGTAAAATTCATACATCATAGATTTACTTGAACTCTAAATCTGGAAAATAATTGCCCGGTAGGTACTTAATGAAGCCTTTTAACAAGTTTGGCAAATTCTCTTACAAACATTGTCTTTAATTCTACTTTCAATATCGACCGTCAAAATCAGTTGTGGCATTTTTTTTCTTTATTGTCTATGTTTACACTGTGGAATCAATTATTCAGTCACACATGCAGAGATACGCAGGCCGAATAGGAAGGGTGAGAGGTTATTGACTTGTGTGACACGTTAGTCCACCTTGTTTTAATATAGTTTTGACCCTTGTAATTTTAGATGCAAAAAACAATTATTTTATATTTACAGAGGTGAATATTCCCTATCAATCAGTATTCAATTCAATTTTCCTTCTAAAACGAGAGCGGTAGGCCCTTTTTAATAGAATTTTATCATCCAAAACTACAGCGTTAAGGGTCATAAGTGAGTTTACTTCAAAAGTTATTCTATAACCGAAAAAAGAAGTTTACAAATAGTTTTCCAAACTACGAGTGTCTATGAAATTCAAATAATTGATAATTTAGTCTTTTCAAGGCAGGTGACCTGCAAGAACTTCTTACTCGTGCTATGAATTATGTAAAATTGACCAACTTTTGGCCTTTTTCCCGCGCGCTTTATTCATTCATTTGTACCAACGAATACTAGAAAGTAATTGGTCGACATTCGATTAAAATCTATCGATTTACCGTCACTCATTCG